GTTGTTTGTTTTGCAGTACGCGGGCCTCTCACTGTTGTGGCCTCTCCCTTTGCGGAGCACAGGCTCCGGACGCGCAGCTTCAGTGGCAATGGCTCACGGGCCCAGCTGCTCCATGGCATGTGGGGTCCTCCTGGACCCGGGCTCGAACCTGTGTCCCCTGCATCAGCCAGCGGACTGTCAACCACTGCGCCACCGGGGAAGCCCACTAGTCTTTGTGTTATAGTCTGTTTTTTTCTGATATGGAATTGCTACTCCAGTGTTCTTTTGATTTCCATTTGCATGGAATATCTTTTTCCATCCCCTCACTTTCAGTCTGTATGTGTCCCTAGGTCTGAAGTGGGTCTCTTATAGACAGCTGCCATACTGTTTTGATTACTGTGGCTTTGTAGTACAGTCTGAATTCAGGGGGCCTGGGTGCACAAATATTTACAAATGTTATATTATCTCCTTGGATTGACCCCTTTATCATTATACAATGTGCGCTCTTTTGTTACAGTCTTTGTTTTGAGTCTGTTTTGTCTGATATGAGTGTTGTTACCCCAGATTTCTTTTGTTTCCACTTGCCTGGAATATCTTTTTCCAGTCCTTCACTTTTAGTCTGTGTGTGTTTTCATATTTGAGTGAATCTCTTGTAGGCTGTATATAGATGGGCCTTGCTTTTTCATTAGTTCAGCCACTCTGTGTCTTTTGATGGGAACATTTAGGCCTTTACATTTTAAGTGATTATTAATAGGTATTACTTATTGCCATTTTAACTGTTTTGTGGTTTGTTTTGCAGTCCTTCTCTGTTCTTTTCTTCTTCTTAGTCTCTACTCTGTGGTTTGATATTTTCTTTTGTGTTAATTTTGGGTCTTTTTTATTTTTATGTATCTATTATAGGTTTTTGGTTTGTGGTTACCATGAAGTTCATGTATAACAACCTATGTATATAGCAGTCTGTTTTAAGTTGATGGTTACTTAAATCCAAACATTCTTAAAACACTGTATTTTTATCTCCCAACACACCTTTTTGACATCACATTTTACATCTTTTTATTTTGTGTATCTCTTAACCTTCATACTTGCTTTGTAAGTGGTTGATACACTCACTGTGTTTACTATATGTTTATGAGATTTTTTTCATATATTTCCTTATTTCTAGTTTTGGCCTTTTCTGCCTAAAGAAGCCCCTTTAACATTTTTTTGTATGGTTAGTTTACTGGTGATGAGTTTCTTTGGTTTCTGTTAGTCTGGGAAACTATACTGCTACTTTAATTATGAATGATAACCTTACCAGGTAGAGTATTCTTGGTTTTTAAGGGTTTTTGTTTGTTTGTTTGTTTGTTTGTTTGTTTTACTATCAGCACTTTGAATATATCATACCAGTACCTTCTGGCCTATAAATTTTCTGCTGTGAAATCAGCTTATAGTCTTATGGAGATTTCCTTCTATGTAACTAGTTTTTTTCCTCTCTTGCTGCCTTTAAGATTCTCTCTTTAACTTTTATCATTTTAATTACACTGTGTCTTGGTTTGGGTCTCTTTGGGCTCATCCTGTTTGGGACTCTGTTTCCTGGACTTGGATGTCTGTTTCCTTCACCTGGTCAGGAAAGTTTTCAGCCATTATTTCTTCAGATAAGTTTTCTGTCCCTTTCTCTGCCTCTTCTCCTTCTGGGACTCCTATAATGTGAATATTAGTGTGCTTGATTTGTCCTTAGGATCCCTTAAAGTGTCTTTTTTTAAAATTCATTTTTCTTTTTTGATGTTCCTTTTGGGTGATTTCCACCACCCTATCTTCCAGATCACTGATCCATCCATTCTTCTGCTTCATGTAATCTGCTGTTGATACCATCTAGTGTATTTTTTTATTTCGTTGATTGTATTCAGCTCTGCTTGGTTCTTTTTTATATTTTGTAATTCTTTATTGAAGTTCTCACTGTTTATTTTCTCATGAGTTCATTGGGCATATTTATGACCATTAGTTTGAACGCTTTATCAGATTACTTTTTTCCATTTTGTTTCTTTTTCTGAGTTTTTGTCTTATTCTTTCTTTTGGAACACATTCCTCTGTCTCCTCACTTTGCCTCACTCTCTGTATAGTTTCTGTGTGTTGGGTAGATGGGCTACGTCTCTCCATCTTGAAGGAGTGGCTTATGTAGAAGGTTCCTCATGGGCCCCAGAAGAGCAATCCCTCCTGGTCACCAGAGTCAGATGCTCCAGGGGTGTCCCCCTCTGTGGGCTATGTGTCCTCCTGCTGTGGTGGCACCAAGGCTGCGCACTGGCTGGAAGGCCAACCCTGTCACAACTGCTCTGGGTCCACTGGTGGGCAAGTTGGTTCCAGGCCCAGTTGGTTTTAACTGCTGCCGGCACCCTGGCCCTTGGTGTGGCTGGCTGCAGGGCTCAGCTGCTCAGTTGCAGGTGTGCTGGTGGGTAGGGCTGGCCTCTCAGGGCAGGAGCCTCTTTAGGGGATGCTGGACCCTGGCAAGTCTACCTGCCAGGTGTGGCAGGACAGGAGCTGCTTTGGAGGGGCAGTGGCCAGGATGGGCAGGTTGGATGGGGCCGGAGAATGCTGGGTCAGGGCTGCAGTGCTCACAAGACAGATGGAGAATGTCAGAAATGGTAGCTGCCAGTGCCGGGCCAGCTAGGTAGAGAGAGAATAATGATTTAAAAATGGTGCCCACCAGCACTTTGGTCCCTGAAGAAAGTTCTAACAGATCTCTGCCCCTGAGCGCTTGCCCTGAAGTTAGTCAGTGAGTCTTCTCCTTCACATGTGACCAGGTGCTTTTCCAACCGCTGCCTCTGCATCAGGACTCAGAGCTAGTGAGTCTGTGCAGAAGCCCTTCAAGAGCAGAGTCTTGGTTTCCCAGAGTCCCGTGGCTCTCCCAGATGTAAGCCACACTGGGTGTCAGTTAAGTGTTAGGGGGCTCCCCTGCCTAGTGCAGGTCCCCCGGGCTGAGGTGCCCCCATATGGGGCCCTGACCCCTCGCTCCTGAGGGAGGGCCTCTAATATTTGTGATATTCCCTCCTGCTTACAGGTCACCGCATGGAGGGTGTGGGTCCTGACTCGATGGTCTCTGTCCCTCTAACCTGTTTCAGTGTGTTTTTCTTTGTATCCTTCATCTTAGAGGAGCTGGTCTTCACGTCGTTCTCAGATGGGTCACTCTGTGTAGTTATAGTTTTGGTTTGTTCATGGGGTGAGGCGTGTCCGTGGGGTGAGGCGTGTCCGTGGGGTGAGGCGTGCCCTTGGGGTGAGGCGTGTCCGTGGGCTGAGGCGTCTTCATGGCGTGAGGCATGTTCACGGCATGGCGAATGCAGGGTCTTCCTACTCTGCCATCTTGGTCCAAAACAAAAACTGTAAAAGTTTTTTATTTTCTTGCGGAATGAACACTTAACATGATTCAACCATGCAAAAGTAAAGAGAAGCTTATATGCATTCCCAGGTACCTTACATACATCTTCAACAATTATCAGCTTACAGCCAATCTTATTTCTGTGCCAGCCCTACCCATGATCCTTCCCTCCCCACCTCTGGATTAATTTGAAGTAAATACCCAATAGCATATCATTTAACCCTGCAGATATTTTGAGATAAATCTGTAAAAGATAACTACTTAAAAAACATAATCACAGTGTAGTTCAAAAATGGGACAGACTGAACGTCAAGAAGAGTAGTAACCGTGATGGGGTGAGCCATATCAAATATATACAAATGATAATTTTTAAAGACCCCCTCCTGGCTCATCTTTATAGACTGTTAGATTAGCTCATTACTCTAAAAACTGTTAAATAAAAGGAAGGAATTATCCCATTTTTCTGGTACACATTGTATTTCAAGATAGCCACATAGTTAATAAGACAGTTCTTTATGGAATGCCAACAAATAAATATAAAAGAAATGCTTTTGAAAAGCATAATTTTGAAGTGCCTACTGAAATAATGGATTTAGCCAGCGGTTACTATAGGATGCTAAAACCATCAGGTGAAAGGCTGATAAAGTTTGTAGTGGATGCACTGGCCAACCACACCTGAAGCCATTAATCAGTCTTAGTACCACCCGAAGAGAGACGTCTGATCACCAGGTGCCTCCAGATGTGATGCACTGAGAAACACATCAACACATGTGGGAATTCTCGCCAAAAACAGAGGGGAAACCCAGAACCTGAAGCTAACCAAGCTCTAGATGTAATTGCCACTTTATAGGAAACGAGGGTAAAATAACACGTTAAAGGACACAGGTGGCATGGAGGGGGGGAAGGTGGAAGGGATCGTCCTTTGAGACGAGGGACATGTCAGCCAAATCCAGTGCTACCCTGTTGAGATTCTGGTCCAGATAAACTCACTCAAATATTTTGGGGGCAATAAGGGAATATGAGATATTAGAGAATAATTATTAATTTGTTATGTATGATCATAATATTTGGTTGTGTTAAAAAAAAATCTGTTAAAGCTACATAGTGAAGTATTTACAGGTGAAATGATGCGTTGTCTAGGATTTGTGACCTTGAGACCCAAGAGCAGCCTCACCTAAGAGCGTGTTAGAATCAGAACCTGTACCAAACTCCAAGAGATGTACATGCACTTTAATGATTGAGAAGCACTGCCTTAAAGTACTTGGTGTGAGGGAGAGTGTGGGTAAGGGATAAAAGCAACAAGATTGCAAGTAGTGATTATTATTGAAACTGGGGGCTAAGTGCTTGGTGAAGTGATTGACTGTAAGTCAGGATTCCTAAATCGGGGACCGACAGACTGGGAGAGCGGGCAGAGTGTTTATGTACTCAGCCCAGTGATTTGTTTTTTGTTGACTGGTTTGAGATGTAAGCGTTTAGGTGAATGTTGTCTGATATCCTCCCCTTCTTCCTGCCCAGCTAGTCAAGTTACTGGCTAGTATTCAAAAACCCTGAATGCATATTTCTTTAAAAAGTATTCCTTGTCAGATCAAATTGTCGGTTAAAATTTATGGAAGAGACATACCTTAACGACTTAACGCCAGTGTGTTGATCCCTCTCTGTAGCCACGCCTAAGAAGGCCTCTTCAGAGCCTGGACGGTGTTCTGTGTGCTGACAATGATGAGGACGCAGAAAGAGCCAGCAAGTAAGTCGCGGGGTCTCCTGTTCTGTTATGCGATGTGGCTCAGCAGCAGAAGCTTTAGGTTACAAGAGAGATGTCAAAGAACGTGCACTCCCAGAGATCAGGTTTTACTCCCTTGTGGTATATTCTTCAGCAGG